CGCTGCTGGCCAAATGGGTGCCCTAAGCAGGATTGTATTGTTGTGCCCCCCTTCCTCAAATATTATGGAAGTAAAAAAAAAAAAAAACCTACTATAGGGGTCAAAATAGAACTTTAATAAAATATAAAAGTAAATAAATAAATAAATTGTATTATTTACAAATTACAATTGTAGCTTACCTATGGCTATGACTTTATTAATACAGTTGTCTAATTGATTTTATAGTCTCAAGCATTCAGAAATAACGCAAAAGAAAATTAAGCAGTTTTACTACGATGAAACCATGGTTTAATTTTGTAAGGGTTGTGATGTCCACATGTTTTTTGTTGAAGAAATTATAGAGGCTGTGTCATCTATAGCAAAAAGCTGGCCAAAAATGAAAGATTAAGTGGATATTTGAAAATGTTTGGCCAAAAGCATAAACGAGGATTTGATTGTCCTGTAAGTGTAGCAGCAGCAATTACCATTTATTTGATCAGAAATACATTAAAAACAGTAATACTGTAAAATATTATTACAATTTAAAATAACTGTTTTCTATTTGAATATATTTTAAAATAAAATGTATTATTGTGCTGGCAAAACTGAATTTTCAGCAGCCATACATTCTAATAATTTTAATTCAAGTCATTAATATTCTATGAAAACATATTGTCAAAATGACATTCGTATGTATCTTTTTAAATGTGGCTCAATATATAAAAATGCTTTTTTTAAAACTACATTTAAAAGAAAATAAAGTTGTTTCAAGCATTTAAATGTATGTGTGAATTGATTAAAAACTTTAATTCTAACCATTTAGGATTTAAGGCCCTTTTGCATTACAACACTGTTTCACTGTATCTTAGCAACACTGAGAAGCATGAGCATTCTGATTGGCCAATAGTGTCAGACGTTCAGGCACACCTATGCAAAGCTCTGTGAGATTCGTAATAAGTTGTTTAAACAGTTTTGAGTCCTGTATGCCTGGGAAGGTGAGAGTGACTGGAGTGTAGTGTGCCATCTGCTGGTGTAACTGAAGCTGTGTCTCATTTAGAAGGCTGCGCCCTCCGGAGGTCGCATTTGAAGGCTGCATACGTCATCGATGCTGTCTCATTTCAGAAAAGCAAGTAGGACACTCCGAATGCGACCTTCGAATGCGACCTTCTTTCACAGGAATTCGGAGGATGCATGAGGTGTATCCTTCGCTGCTACAGATAACCCACAATTCTTTGCGTCGCCGTAAACAACCGTTGTTAATTTGAAAAATGCCGGCGCCGGCAGATGTACACACAAGAGCAGATGTGGTGTTCTGTTTACAACTTACCTTAAATCGCCTCGGTAAAAACGGATAAACTTTGTTTTTAATATCCTCCTCCTTTTTTTCTCTAACAGATGTCTGCTGTACGTACGCTGCAGCTCCTCAAACATTGAACAAAATAAAACAAGTAAAAGCATTTTTTTTTTCAAATTACCAAATTTAGAAATAATTTTCCTTAATTTAAGTAGTGTGAGAGCGCAACGATGCTCTAAATGTGTTGGCATAGCAACGTGATACTTCCCGTTTCCTTTTCCGCCTGTCCTACGAAGGCCGTCTCGTTTAATTCTTGGTTGAGGACACTTCGTATATGCATCCTATAGGATGCGACCTCCAGAGGATTCGACCTCCGGAGGGCGCAGCCTTCTAAATGAGACACAGCTTGAGAAAGACAATTTGGCACTATGCGCTGTTCTTGAACTATGGGAGATTTCAGGCAGGAAATCTAAAAAGAATAGTGGAGCACACAGTGAAAAATCCTGTTGTAGATTACTTTGAAATACATGTTTTTAACGTTCTTTAGCAAATATATATATAACACTTTGGATAAACTCTTTAAATTCTATCACGCAAATGTACTTTTATGCATTTGACTCTGTTTTCTCAAAGAAATGCTAGTGTAATGCTAAATACAATGCTACAAACATTGTATAGTTAAACATTGGGCGGAGAGGTCTTTTTTTAAACAAATTAATTAATTATTTTAAAATTTAAATGTAAGAATCACTGTCCTAAGGACTTTGATCTTTTCTGATCAAACCAAATGTAACTTGAGAGAAACAGATGCCAACTGTCACACAGGCTACAAGTTCTATTGACAGACTCATTTGACCCAGTGCTCTTCTGGCCAGTGATTTAAAAGGTAAACACTATAGTGTTTGTCTCTCATGACATTTGGAGCTATTCGGTTTACAGGAACACGTCTCTGCAAGACAGACTCAATTAACCCACACATCATTCATTGATTGCTTGTTTTCCAAATCTGCGTAAATGTAATATGGAAAGTCAGTCGCTGAATGTGATACTGCGTTTAGAAGCAACTGAAAGAATTAGCAAATTAGACAAAACATTAAATAAACCAACACACGAGGATTGGGGCTGTGTAGTAGGCTACTGTGCGAATGAAAATCTGCTGAACGTTCTGTGGAATCCTGACAGCACAGATTCAGGCCTAATCATGAATCTTGTTTGGTCCATAAACATTATGTATGAATCAGCATCATAGTAAATTCAGACATCCCAGTCTCTCACATATGGATAGCAGGTTCCTGACGCCTGTAAATGATTCGCTATATGTCGGAAATTGAGTGAGCAAAATAAAATCTGTGAATTGTCTTAATAGTATGTGAAAAACAAATGTTTTGAAATATATATATTTTTTTATTTTCCATTCAAAATTTATGCAAATATTTTAGATTCACTGGTCTATTTCAAGATATTTCTCTGGAAATATAACCCACACAGTTCCGTTCAAGAGAAAAAAAATATTTTGTATATTAGGTGCTTCACTGGCAGTTTTCAGCAAGATTTGAAGTTCTGCTGCATCATGCTCTGTTTCATGCTGTTTCAGTCTTTAAACATTTCCAAGGTTGCTAAAAGTTGATTCAAGTCACAAATTTGAGTAACAGCAAAATAATAAAAAAAAAAAAAATAATAATAATCTGCGTCATCACCATACTCAGCAGCAGCCAATCCAAATCACTGCGTCATAGTACAGCAGCCTTCAGCAGAGGAAATCATCAATTAAGATCAATAAGTGAGGATATTACTAAACTGTATATTCAAACTAGCTGAGATCTGATACAATCTCAGCTGATGATGAAGACTCTGGGCCCTTCCTCTCTCATAGGCGGCAGGCTCTCTATGTTCTCTATGAGGATGTGCTTGTCCTCCCTCTTCGACGGGCTCTGTGGCTGACAAAGGTTGCTTCTTAGATCTTCAAAACACACGTTCAAGTCTTTGAAGAGGTGTAACATGCTCACCCCGATCACAATCACCAAGAAGCCCCCGATGGTGCCCACCACATCCACTCCTGACATGGCTCCCCATTCTTTAAAGAGAATCACAGAGGTGCTCAGGACAACGGTGGTGAAGAAGACATAGTAGATGGGATACACCAAGAGCGTATTGAAGGTGTCCAGCGACTTATTCAGATAGTTGACCTGGATGATGATGGATCCGATTAAGGTCAGCAAAAGAATCCAGGTGAGAGGGTGATGGACCACTGAAAGGTCAAAGAACATGGTGCGGATAGCAATGCCGAGGCCCTTGACCGAGGACACAGTGAACGATCCAAGCAGAGAGCAGATGCTGATGTAGACTAATATGTTAGTTTGACCGAAGCGAGGAGAGACGTAGAAGATCAGGACCATACAAGCAACCAGCAGAATGCTGGCAAACACCAGAAAACCTTTAGGAGAAGCAGAAAAAGCTGCTGTTATCCATTACAACATGTTTTCAGTTCTATAACTAAAGGTATTGAAACACTAACCAGGATCCAGCAGTTTCTCTGTCATTTCTGTAAGCGTCATCACCTCTTCCTCTTCAGGTGCATGTATAACCATTATAGTGCTTCCCAGTATGCTGAGCATGCAGCCAAGTTTTCCTAGCAGATTCATTGTTTCTCCGAACAAGTGGGAGGACAGAACTGCACTGAAGAGAGTAAATAAGCATTAACATTAATACCTTTCCATTTAGTTCTAGTGAAAACACTAGGAAACACAAAAGGCCATAAACAGATTCAACGCACTCGTAATGAGAAAGGGACATTCAAGTGTTATCTCATGACTTCAGAAGATAAAGATGGAGATCAGTACGTGATTTATTCTTGGTATATGTTTATAATAATCATATGATGAAATGACTGTTGTTGAAATTATCAGTTGGCATGTTCTTTGAACATCAAGTATGTGTTAAAATTACATTTGCCTCAACATCTGTTGAGACTATTAACAATTAAATGTTTTTTTTGTATGTTGAGGGAGACATTTGACAGGCTGCGGGGAAGGACAGTAATTGATTGGGCCTGGGAAAAAATTCAATGTTTTTGTCATGTGAACACTTATGATTTTTTAAAGTCGACTTTTATGTGATGAAAGTCGAGTCGAAGTCGACTAGTCGCTGATGACGCCATTAATGAACAAATAAGTCTGGAGCTGTGATAAACACCTTGTGCACAGCTATGGCATATGACACAGCGGTGCCCACATGGCTATTGCTCCTATTGCTCATTTTTAACAGTTCTTTTGTCTTTGAGTCGTTATGTTTCTCACAGATTTCTGCTCGTTCTAAATCAGATACAGATAAAGTAGCAAAGTAAAGATTACATTCATATGAATGCATTAGTGAGAGCGACCCTCTATAGGACCAGCGACTAGTCGACGTTAAGCTTAAAGCGTCATGGCAGAGCATTGAAATCCACTAGTCGATTAGTCGGTGCAACCCCTAAATGTCATGGTTCAAAAGGGTCAGTAAGTACTTTTTAAGAAATTAATACTTTTATCAAGCAAGGATGTGTTAAATTGATCAAAAGTGAGGGTAAAGATATTTACAATGTTACAAAAGATTTCTATTTTAAATAAATGCTGTTTACTTTTATTTATTAAATGCTGAACTTTGATCTAATGATGAAAGAATGATCTAATGATCAAAGAATCCTGAAAAAAAATCATGATTTTGACTACAATATTAAGCAACAGAAATTGCAATAGTATTTCACAATATTACTGTTTTTACTGTATTTTTTATCAAATAAAATACTCAGCCTTGGTGAGGATAAGAGACTTCTTTAAAAAATATAAAAAAAACTAGTTTACAAACTACACAAATAGTGTACACAACTACATAAATAAAAGCAATATTTTGATGAAAATATCAATCTATATTATTTTAGTCCTAAACTGTATACAAATTACAATTAATTAACATACTGTAGCATTATGGGGTTTTACCTGGGCCCGACAGCTCAGTCAAATGTGCTTTAATTGCGTAAAACATATTGCAATTCAGGTTGTTTAACATTACAGTCATATATATTTCAAAATATACTAGTCCTCTCACTCACAGGCTTGTAAAGTTTACACAGCATTATGTGGAGCAAACCGTTGGCGAGGGTAAATAAGGGTGGTGCCGTTACCTGATAAGAACACTGAGAGCTCCTAAAGGGGTCACCACTGTGGCTGGAGCAAACATGTATGCTGTGAAGTTTGCCGCTTCACCTCCACCCACTGCGAAAAAATGCAGGATGTTATCTAAGTTTGTTGGAGTCATCAAAGGAAGATGACTGACAAATGCTTTGCATTGCACTTACTTGTCAAAAGGCCTCCCCACCACAGCCAGTCCTTAAGGTACCCATGACCTCCCTCAGCTAAACAGGCAAGCATTTTCACATATGCAGTTTGTTAAAGAACACAAAACAGAGCCTGTTGGTGATTCTGTCATTATTTAGCTAAGCACAAACAAAGAAAGAACCAGTTTCAACCAATTTCACAATTGTTATTCAGTCAAGTAAAATAATTAGCATTAAATCCAAATACCCTCAAAAACAAAACCAGTAACTCAACATTCTGAATATTAAAGTATAAACACCATGCAAGGTTTATTGCATCAGAATTTGATGGCACTTTTGACGTTTTTGTATTATGTAAATACTGATGTAAATTGCCTTACCTGCTCTTGTTTCCCCAATACTGGCCAAACGCAGCAACGCCTTCTTCTTCAGGATAATGCTTCCTCCTATGAGGAAAGCTGAGAGCACGGCCAGCGACAAGCCCATCCAGAAATTGTAATTGCTCCATTTGTCGATGGTGAGAGCTGCTGTGTTGACTGTAGAGTTTATATTGGAGTTGTCTACACTAAAAGACGTGTTGTCAACACCCGTGTCAAACACACAAACAGAGGCGGACGTGGGACAGAAGATCCTTATTACTGAACCTGATCACAAGAAAAAAGAAGAACTACATGTTACAACAATAGGTTAAATTGCCAAAACAGTTTTTGTTGGGAGTAAAATGCCCAACAAAATTGTTCAAACCAAAAAATGCCACCCAGAAAAATTGATTAGTTAATTTTCACAGCAGCTTATGAATACTTTTTTTAAAAATTAAAAATCCCTTTTAATGACATGAAACAGCTAAATCATCATTACTAAAACAACAGTATTTCATCTCTGACAGCATAGCAAGAACGGGCAATGCACTCCACTATAGGCTGCCATTGTGTTGCTTTTTCTTCAACATTTTAATATCATTTATATTTTAATATCATTTATAAATCATCTTTTAAAGATACATAGTGTTTTTATAGGGAACAGTGGAACCAAAGGTATGGCCAATCATTGACTGAAAGGCTGATATCATACAATAAGGAATGTTTGTCCTTTAAACAAATATAATGTTATCATATGTTAATAAACAAGATGTCATTCGTATCCTTTCCAAAGGACAACACATTGATGAGTCGAAACGAATAACTACTAAAATGTGCAACTATTACAAAAAAACAAACATCATTAAACCTCAAGTATCACCCTACCAAAAGCAGTTTTCACATTACATGCACAAAAACACATAAAATCATATCGCAATTTAAGTTAGGCTCTTACTGACGATAGTCGTTAAATAAGACAACAAACTCTCTTACCATTGATACATGAATTGGATGGCAGGTGTATGTCTTTCATTGTTCCCCCCACACTATAAACGACGGGTTAAAACTTACCGAAACTAAGCCATTTAAAAACAAATTATTTTGTATCAGAATAAACTACGAGATAAACATTTCTTTCGGACTTCGCCTCGGTTCATTTGAATATGCCAGAATACACGTTCTGCATCGGTTCCTCCCGCGCGCGTAACTTCATAGCACTAAAGAACCACAGATACCTGAGATGCGCGCGCACGTAAACACGGCCACGAGCAAAGCAGGTAGGCTATCGACTGCCACGCCCGAGCAACGGGCACGCGGAGTAACGAGCCAGCAGTTGACAACAGGGATACAGTAATGACCTTCCTCGTAATACAATATGCAGAACTTCAAACACACGTGAAACTTCCTATTCAAACATGACATTTATATTGCTTGAGGGGGGCAGGACGTGGTTACTGTCACGAGCTGCCTTTAAAAATACTTTTTACAACATGAACTATTATTGTAGCATTATTATTAGAATTTTTTTTTCTCAAATTTGTTTGTTTAAACTTTCATCTCAATGTTGTTGTAAACACAATTCATATATTTACTTATGTCCTATTAAATACTTGTTATTTGCTTGTTTGTACTGTTAGCTCAGAGCAGCAGATACTTGATACTGCTTTGGCGATAGTATTGGCTGACAAGTTTCTCCAGAAAGCTGAAGAACCAGAATAACGGGTTATAAAGGGTTTGAGCAGAGATGAAAAAGAAATACATGCTTATATTGGCTGTAAAGAGTTGTTTAAACAGACAGTTTAGCGGGCTGGCTTACTATATTTTGATGACTGCATGGGTTTGAGCTCATTAAAATTTAATCTCTCTCAGTGCTATTCGATATGTTTTTGTTTGTTGTTTTGCAGCTATGTTCTCCGTTCCACTTGGAGAAGGATCATGATGTGCTTGATTCTCTTATGAGAAAGGAGAACTTTGAGACACATCAGGTGTTGCATATGCAAATTAGTCTGATCATTCTTTGTCACCTCAACATTTCAATACCACAACCTGTTAGAACAAGATTCGTAAGCAGTTGTTCTGTTGTGCTCAAGTGTGTCAAAATCAGTTTTTAAATAAAGCAACTGCCTGGAGACTGGTAACCTAGAGCAAGTGTGCTCAGTCACACAAAACTCCCTTGACACTGGCTGCATAACCACAACTTCCACTGAATTTCATAAAATGAGCATTGAGTGTGCAAATGCAGGATTAAATATTACATAAATCGTGCAGTTGAAAAAAAAACAAAAACAATTAAATTAAATTGTTGCCCAGTTGCAAAAAAATGCAAGTACATAGGCCTACATACAAACAAAAAGTATTTATCTATTCGAAATTAGGAACATAAATGAATAGAGGTGACAGATCACAAAAGACTGAAGCAGCAAATCAGAAGTAGCTGTTTTTACAATTATTTTGAAAAATATCAAACATTTTGGGCTGATTTCACAGTATCTCTTATATATATATATATATATATATATATATTTTAGCAAACAATGATTCAGTCTTGCAGGCATTAAATAAAAAGTTGTTCAGTTGCAAAAAGCAATAAATAAATAAAAGTTAGAAAATCAATCAAACACCCAAAAAAGAGGACTAAATATTACAGGACAATTCTATAAATGGCCAGTTGATGTCACTGCAGACTAAAAACAAAACAAAAAACAGCTTCAACCCGACTATTCAACTGCTGTCCAAGAGAAAATCATCTGAAGTCAAACCAGGTGATAAAGTTGGCTTATTGTTTAGAGATTTCCTTTTCACTAACCATTTTGAAGGTCACACAGGGTGGAATAGGACTTTTGTTTTGCTCTGCCGGTCTATCTAAACAAAATCTCCAATGTGATTATATGGATAAAAGAATGTGCTAAAAGACATTATAAATTCATTAGAATCCAGAGAGGGGCTAAAGAGGGTTAAATAAACCATGTTCATGTTGTTAGTGTTAAAAGGGTCAACACATTTCAGTTTCATTCTTCGTAAATTCTAACAAATCAATACTCCAAATGATAGTTGCTTGAGCCTATAAACCTGTCATTTTATTTCTCCTTTCTGTCTTCAACAAACAACGAAATCATGTGATATAGAGATGTCCGTGTTGTCTCAAAATACCTTTCCCATCCTGCCCATGCTCATGCAAATGTCAGATTAGCCAACTGAAAGAGAGATGAGAGTGGAAAAAAAACATGTCACTCGTAGCAATACACTGCTTTAATTTGTCTGCATGTTCTAGTTTCAAGATGGCTTTTGTTCAGTGTGTGCGTTGCACTAATTACCATGATCATTCGAAACGGAGCACAACTCTTGCTTGCAGCCTCCCACACAAGCTCTGAAAAACAATTCATACAGCCACACAGAGAGATGATGTTGTTCCCCAGCACAGCTACTCTTTTATAGGACAGATAGGTAGTAAACATCATTTCAATAACAGAACAGCACTGGATGGAGGTTATTAGTGGCAGGTCAGATGGCAATGCCAATCAGCACGAATTAACATTAATGACAAGGGCACTAGCCAAATTATGGTCATTATGATTGTCATTGATATCAGACCTCAGCGTGCATGTCATCCATTGAAGGTCTGATGTCTGTAGGTGACTTTATTATGCATATATAAACCCCCTCTTGCCTTTTTGCTTGTGAATCGCATGCAGCTCTTGTGTTAGATGTTATGATTAAGTCTTTTCTCTTAAAATGCAGTGCATCCAGGGTGATTATTAGTGAACACACTGGACGCTTTGATATTAGTATTCATATTTTTATTTCCACTTAGCTCCCAATAAAACATTTCGAAGGCAATCTGCTTGTTTGAATATGAAAGCGGGAGAAGTAAATGATGTGAAAAACAGCTTGCAGACAGAAGTTGGTAACAATGAAGCTCTTTCCCAAGTTAAGGAATTGAATTGCTTGGGTTGGCATGGCAACTGTTTTAGGAGAACTGGAAAAAAACGGGAGTTTTTTGCTTACAGAATGATGAAGTTCTGGGTGAGGTGTCAGTCTGGCTTAAAACAGATCTGACTTTGGTGTTGTGACCTTTGTGATACAGACATTTAAAATGGCTTTTAAACCATGAAATGTTGCAATAAGTTTTACACTAATTACCTGCATTTCAGATAATAATTATTAATAATAAATCAATGGCCTTTTTCATAAAAATATGCAATCTTATATAACCATACAATGACACTATTGCATTCGGCAATCAAATAATAATAAACAAAATTTTTAGTTTTAATATATATCTGGGGTTTATACTTGCTCTTGCCATTTTTATCTCTGTAGAATTGTAATTTATTTATTATATTTGTATTTATTCAATATGATATTTAAAATAAATTTATTTATTTATATATTTATTTATTTTAATGGACAAACAAGAAGGAAAATAGGTGACAGTTATTTTAAAAGAGATCAAACATTTTTACTAATCTCTCAGGATCTCTTCTTTTTTTAGCAAACAGTGATTCACTCTGCTGCAGAATGTGCTCAGTATAAATTAAGCATCGTCTCTGGCATGTCATGTAGCTCTCAGCGTTCACAAGCTTTTTGTCTTACTTTTTGACAAACATAAGAATGTTGGTAACCAAACAATTGGTGATAGCCTTTGACTTCCATAGTATTTTTTCCATACTATGGGAGTCAATGGCTTTCAGCATTTGTTACCAACATACTTCAAAATATCTTCTTTTGTGTTCAACAGAAGAAAGAAACTCATACAGGTTTGGAACAACTTGAGGGTGAGTAAATGATGACAGAATTTTCATTTTTGGATGAACTACCCCTTTAACGTCACCACACAGTACTGCAATTCAAGCTGGGTCTTACATTTAGGCACCTCAATATAACCCTAAATACAAAACATCTCAGCTTCAGCTCTCAGAGATGAATGAATACCTGTAGGCACACAATTAGCCGAGTTCAGATAGTGCTGAATTTCGGAACACTTTGCAAATGCACGAAAGCCTCTAACACTTTCTATGTCTTGAGCATGAGCCATTTCTCTGCTGGAAGTGAGTGAGTGAAAGGCCAGGCCTATGGGGGAAACAGAAGGAAGAGAACAAATGTGGCATTTATCGAGATCAATACAGCACTCTGAGAGCCAACAGAGCTCAAACAAGCTGTTCTGTATCAGTGCAGCTCAGTCGTGGACATGAATTCATCTGATGACGTTGAAAAAAGAAACAGAAGAGGTAGATGACTTGACTCTGTAGATTCTGGCATCATTCATTCTTAAAACAAATGCAAATGTCAACTAGTTAAGAACAGAGAGCAACAAAGAGAATAGATAGACACATACGTCAAAAAGCAGAAATTTTGGTAGGAAACAAAAAGCGTTCAGTAAGAAAAAGTTTATTTCTGATACTCCTTGTCAACACGTTGATTTCTTGCCGTTACATCTTGCTGCCGTTTTTAAAAGGTATTTTGTGAGGTGACTGTGAAAAAGAGGAGATTTTTTCATAAGTAGGGCTGTCAATGTAATAAGATGTTTTACTGATTAAATAAAATAAGCAATAATAAAATTAACACAATGCTGAAAAACAGTAACAGAAAACTTCCTCAGACAGATTGACAAATCAATTGCAAAATGAGACTAGGCGAGTGCTCATGTTCAGTCACATGAAACAAAAAAGCAACTTACTGACAATATATAAATCACATTTTGTAATGTATATTTAAAGCTGTCATGCCACAATAATGTTGTATTTTTAAATAATCAATAATTAAATTTTACATTTATTTCTCAGCAGACAGGGATATACATGCGATTAATTTGACTAATTAATCAGTATATCATGATTCATTCGATTAAAATGTTTAATCGATTGACAGCCCTATTTATGACTAGAAGTGCAAAACCAACCAAAGAAAAATCTAAAATACAGAATTTCACTTTAAATACAAGACCAGAAATGATTACAAATATAATAAACAAAACAAATAACCCATCGAATGGAAAACAAAGGCCACAAAGCACTGTTTTGTCAGCACAAATGTTCCACGTCATATTATGGTTGATTCTCTCGATTTTGTATAAATGGAATCGGCAATAAAAAGGACAGACGATGTACGAACCACTGAAGGCCCACTGGCAAAGTACTGAGGAAGGATACAA